TGATTTTGCAAATGAAAGCTAAAAGCTAAGCAAAAGCCACCAATCTATTTTGCCTAAAGATGATTTTAGTGCTCTTTATGTTCCCCTAAATGACAAACCAATTTGTTACCTGCCTACATAAACATTTGCCTATATTAGCCCCAGAAATGTTTTATTTTTATTAGCCCAAACTTTATCTTTTTATGAAGACACAGGGGCCCAATAAAATTAGTGTGCAAATATAATACCCAATTTGCATTTTTCCATGGTCAGCAGAAAAGCTGAGTAAAATCAATTTGATATTAGGTCAGCATATACATCAATAAAGCATACGCTCACACAGGACCATTGTAATGGTTCCTGTAATTTCTATGCTGCCAGAGTAAAGAGATTAAATAATATTAAATGCTCCAAAATAGCTTTGCTTTTAAGAGGAATGTAAAAAGAAAGAGAGACTTTGGCATAAAACGGGCAATAAAGGATAATAGTTGCACAATCTCCAACTTTAAAACATTGTGACAATGATCTCAGAGGCAGGCTTCCTGCAAAATGGCCCCAATTCAGCACAGCTCTCATGCCAAAATTATGGTTAAGCACATCTTTGAGCACCATACAAGTCCATCAAACAAATCATGTACTTAAGCACCTGACAGAGTCAAGGACAGAGCCTGAATGGAAATCCAAAACTTGGAAGGTTTTGGATGCAGTTTGGAGCATTACGTGCAGGGCCATTGCTGAGTAGATGGTCCATGCACAAAGGAAGCTTTGCTGAAAAAATCCTAGGCAGGAGAGCCTGGAGGTGATGGGAGGCCCTGTGGCAGTGCTACCCCATCACAGACCTGGCCTTCCATAGCTTTTTCCTGAGGCACAAAATACTGCTGCCCCCCATTTCAGGTAAAACTACACAGGAATAGATGTCTGACTTCCAAAAGATGTAGTGCAGTCTTTGCTCTTCACTCTGTGGTGCAAATGGCATCATTTTGACCTTCTGTCCCACTCAGTTTCTTTGTACTGCTCAAGCCAACTATAAGAAGGCAAGAAAGACAATGTGACCTCACCAAGTCCAGTGGGGTTTGGTAGTGACCAAAAATCCTGTTCCTTTGCACTCTTGCATTGCTGAGATGCGTGCTCTACCTGAAATGACATTTGTGGCCAGAAGGAGCAAAAATAAATGGGATTAGGTGCTGATCTGGTCTCTCAGGGAAAAACAGTGTGCAGTAAATGCTGCTTGGATTTGATTTGGTAAAGCAGGTTAATGTGGTGGACGAGGCACTCGGGTGTTCACTTTCCACACAGATGTTCCAGCTCTGCTGGACACAAACGAGCCGAGGTGGCACAGAGCAGTGTAATGCAATAGAGCTGTTTTTATTTCCTCTGTGGAGTCTTTAACTCACAGGGTTTTGCATTAAAAAATGCTGGCAACAGCCCACCTCATATTGTAAAGTACCTGAGACAAGATGACAATATGGAATTCATTTGTAGTGGATAATGTTTCATTAAAATATTTGTGGGTATTTCAATCAAATCCTTATTTTGCCCTAAGTTCTTAGGATGATGGATTCCCATGGATTAGAGTCTTCTGGTCTTCCAGAGATGACAAGATTTTTCTAGTGCCTTCCTCAATTTTGAAGTCCTCTGCAAAGGAGTAAAATTCACTCCCAAGTTCTCCTGATGAGCACCAGCCTAAAAGGCTTTCTGGACCAGACTTCTAGGGTCAGACCTCTCATCCTTAGTGCTAATTTCTGAACTAGAATCATTAGCTACATCATGGCTGCAAGACCTAAAGAAACCACAAATCCTCAGTCTGATTCTGGTCTGACAAGGTAGCAGAAAAGATCCTGGATGTTGAGGAGTGATGTTCTACCTCAGTTCTATTATAGTACTTCATCTTGCTGATGCAAATGAAATTCCATAAATTTTATATTTCTGTTTGAAATTTTCTAGATACTTATCATTAAACTGCTATATACAAACACAGTCATTTTCATGTTTTTATAATAGCATAAAAATGAAAATTGAATGAAAATGGCTGAGTGAATTTGCTGCCTTCCTGTAAAGGTTTAGAATTTGATCTCTCTTTGTAAGTAGAAAATGTTTTCTGTGCGACCCTGCTCTAGTTGTAGTAGCATAATAAGCAACCAGGAGTAGAAATTGCAGTCTCCTGGGTGAGAACTGAGGGAGTGTTGCCAGTGGGGTTGTTTTAAGTGATTGGCTTGAATATGCCAAAGCTTTAGAGGGGAAAGTACATGGGTTGAGGGCCAAACAGCACAAGTGATACTCAGAGTGAGAGATCTGAGCTGCTTGCTTGCAGCTCATTGAGTTTCTTTCCAGTATGAAATTTATTTGGTGTTTATCACTACTGTGGTTTCTGGAGAGCCAGAATAGATGTTGAGGTTGGTGTTGATTGCTCTGAATAGCATCTCAGACCTTCACAGCTTTGCTTGAGGGAATTCTCCTCTGAGCAGAGGCAGGATGGCCGTGGGTGAGTAGCAGGACACCAGGGTTAACACACAGTGACAGATTGTTTATCTCTCAGTCACAAATCAAGGCAAATAGGCAAATATTATCCATGATGATGATCTTGGTAGCCTTCAAAGGGAAGAGAAAATGTTCATTTCAACCTTCAAGATACTTCCCAGAACAGAAAATGTAAAAGGAACCATTCCAGACACGTCTACTTTTCTTTCCTTTCTTTCCAAGAAAACCTGTTTTGTCAAAGAGTTTTGTTTCTAAGATTCACTGCTATGGTGTTCAGAAGGGTAAAAGTGGCACCACAACAGATTTCTTTGCATCTCCACAAATCTCCAAGCTGTGGCTAAATGGTGTGTGCCTTTCTGTCATTTTCCTTAAGTGCTTTTGGCATCTACTAAGCAAAACTAAACACTTCTACTCTTCTTAATTTTGATTGATCTTTTCAATCCTGAAGTAGAAAATAGGATGTATTTCTAATGTAACATTTAAATTTAAAAATGAAATGATGTTTTGTAGTTGTTCAGTGGGTTAACCTTGGTTAGCAGCCAGATGCCCACACAGCTGCTCTCTCTTATCCAGGACAGGAGGAGAAAATAAAAAGGAAAAGCTCATGGGTCAAGAGAAAGACAGGGCTATCATTTACTAATTGCCATTGTGAGCAAAGCAGACTTGACTTGTGGGGATTTTAATTTATTGCCAATTAAAATAGACTTGCATAGTGAAAATTATTGATTATAATAATGATTCTAATAAGTGTTATGAAGCACAAATAACAACAGTTTTGTAATTGAAAACAAACAAAGCCAAAGCCAAGAAACACCCCAAACCAATCCTCTGTCCAAAAGATTCCTAACCAGTGCAGTTCCAGATCCAAAGAGTGGCAGTCATGTTGCTGAGCATCACATCTGTGCTGAGCCACAGTCCCTTTAATGCAATGCTGGTTTTCCAAGAGGGGAGGAAAACTCATCTCCTCTTGCAAAAGTGATCCCAGCCTTCTCCTTTTGTTCTTTAAAGTTGGTTTGCTGATTTACATCCTTCCTCCCACGCTACTTAATGTTAATGCAAATGTTGTGGGATGGTCATCGACTTCTAGCTGATGGGGTTGTGCTCCTTTTTGCTGCCTCCCACTTTTCTTCTGCCAAGAGAATTGACTCCACCAGCTGCTGGGTTTGGCAGAGACTTTCTTTCTTATATTTCTTTGCTTCTGGGGTTCAAAAACATCAGATAATGGTGAAGCTGGTGTAAGAAAGAACAAATGAATGGCTGAGTTATAGGGAGAGCAGCTGCAGGACTTTGAGATGCTAAGGAAATAAAAGAAGAAACCTGCTGCAATTGTCTCTTGAGAATGGCAAAAAATGTCTTGATTATTCCTATGGTTCTGTAAGGTGTGATTTGCCATGGGGAAAATGGAGCATTTCTAAGAATTTTAAAAATTAAAACAATTTAACTAAGGTATGGTCTTGAGGACTCTCACACATATTTGAAAACAAAAGTGTGACTTTGGATAAATGTGCAATACATCTACCTAATTAAAATAGGGGGAAAAAAAGGAGCTTGGATTTAGTTTCCAGTCTGTAAACTTTTTACTTCAAAACAAAGATTTAAACTATCTCTAGCAATTGGAGCCTGCTGTGTTGAGCATTACCCCTGCTGTGTGAGTTCAGGTTGAGATAAGACATCTAACTGAGGTCCTGACCTCCTATAGTCTTTAAAATTCCCAGAACCCATTTTGAAAGAGCATAATTTTCATTTGCTGTTTATTAAATGCAGTCACAGCACAAACAAAGATAGGATTGTGGTTGACCCATGTAGTTTATGGCTGAAACAGGTGACCAAAGTGGTGTAGTTTCAAAACTGAGGGATTAACCATGTTAAATTCAGCATAGTTGGGATCTAAATCTGCCTTTCACCTATCTGTAATTTGAAGAGGAAACAGCACATTTTCATGCCCTCGCTGGAGAAGGTTCCTGGATTTAATCTTGGTCTCTTTTCTATACTTTTTTTTAACTTTTTTTTTTTTAGCTTTTCTTTCAGTTGAACAGATGCAGTCCCAAACACTTAACAGATTTTTAAAAAATCACCTCTAAATCCTCCAAAGCAAAGCCTAATAAATACAATTTGTAGCACTTTGCCATTGCCTGGCACTGTTAAGGCTTGCACCAAGTGTGGTGCAGGGTGCAATTGGCTTTACCTTGACTGGAGCCCCACTGCCATTCCTGTGGCCCAGGGGGACATTTACCACGAGTGAGAGCACAATTACAGTGCAGTTAAACTCGCTGCAGTAAATCTTGGGGTTTAAAAAGAGAGCTAAATTTGTTGTTGCAGGTTTGGCTGCATGTCATTAGTCTTGCAGCCCTTGTGCAGCCTGGGAAGGAGACCTGGTGACGCTGCCTCTGGTCAGGGATTGTCCTTGTTTATAACGTGTGACCAATCTTAGTGAAAGGATATGCTTTAAAAATTAACAATTGTGTGCTTCTACATCTGGGGCACAGTTTAATGATCTTCATTTCTCTTTATTTCCCCTCTTCCCCTGCCCTTTTCTGCTGCAGCAAACCTGCGTCCAGGGGCTGAACAGAAAGTGGTGTTCATCACTGCACGGGTCCATCCCGGGGAAACACCCTCTTCCTTCGTCTGCCAAGGTGAGAGTCTGCACCGAGGGGGCACATCTGGTGGGACCTGATCTCCTGCTGATCCTCCATGTGGATGGCTGTGGCTCTGAAAATGATGTGACAGATTTTCCCACAGTGAGGATATCAGCAGAATCTCCCATCTAATACCCAGCAGCTTGTCCTCCTTGAGGCCACAGGAATAGATTGTCTCCAAGTCTTGTGAATGTTTGCTGGACTTGGTCAGAATTGGACAGAATCAGGCTCTGAAGCAATTTGGGAAGAATGAGACAGTCACACTCATATGCAATATATTTGTGTAAAGGTCCTTTTCTCAGAGCTTTTCCAGCCCATTTTTCGTGGGTTTATTCTGTTAACTGCTTATTATTTTCTTGCTGTGTACTATCTCCAGCTTCTTTTCCATCACAAAGCAGTGACCCTAGTTCTCCAGTTGAATTCTAAGAGGCTTCTCTTTGTCTGAAGCTGCTGCTCTGAGGAACACAGCTCCCAGTGGCTGACAGCTGTTTCCTGCACAAAGCATTCCTGCTAAAAATAGAAAGCAAATTGCCCAGCTTGTATTTATAAAGAGTTGTAAATCTCAGGCTTGTGGGTACAAATAAATAAATAACCCTGGCACGCCTTCATATAACTTCATTGTATAGGTCTGAAATGTTGTACTTCTGCATGTGACTGTCTGCAGCAGTGAAGTGTTGATGGTGTAAATCAAAGTAGCTCCCCTGGAGCCAGGGCAATTTGGTAATTCTCTGCAGCAGCTTGGACCTGGCCCTGCTGAGCCGATGAGTTGCATCAATCAAGCATATGCAGAGTTTATTATGTTGTGTGCTCATGATGCCACAGACTCGGTTGCCATTGGCCCTGCTGGTACCCAAAGACCTCTGTGGGGAGGGTCTGGCACATATCCATGGTGTTCTCTGTGTGCTCCTCGTCCTGGCCAGGTGCTGTGCCTGGCATCTCTCTGAGGCAAAACATCAGCAGTGCCCCTTCTGCTGCCCCAGCCCCCTGGGCTTGCAGGACACTCTCCTTGCTGGCCTGGAGTAGCAAAGGTAAAACCCTTCCTCTAATAAAACAAAGCTTCAGACTGAGAGCAGGAAAACTCAGCGAGTTCCCCATCTCCTGCTGTGCCACAGTCAGTGCAGGGCATTACAGCACACATGATGTTTGTTAATGAATATGGATTTTTAATTGGCTGCTTTGATTCTGTTTGTGGCTGCTGGCATAGCCCTGTGAAATGAAAGCTGAGGCATGCTGCTGAGGTGGTGCTTTGTAAATGATGTTATTTTATTTTGATAATGGAGAGTTTATTCAAAAGAGAAATAATCAAAAAACCCCAAACAAAACGATGTGTAAAAGCGGGTGGCATGCTTAGTCTGATGAAACAGCTAGATAGAAGTCATGCCCTGATTGTCTCAGGAACTTTGTGCTTTGTAAGGAAAAAAGCAAAAAACAAACAAAGAAAACAAAACCAAAATTTTTAAAAAAACCAGGAAATATAAGAAAAATAGCAAGGAAGGTATCAAGGTATCAGTTTTGGAGAAGCACATGAAAAGCTGCTGTGGCTGCAGTTATAACTCATGCTTGACTCCTTTGGGAGTGTCTGGATCCACAGGCACTGGATCTGCACTGAGCCCCTGCCCCGTGTGCAGAATTAGCATCCAGACAAGTAGAAATGTCAAACATTTCAAGGCCATTGCAGCATTGTTTCTAGTGCTGCCAAATGTGAAATTGGGTGCTTGCTCCATCTTTGGAAACTTTTGTGTGGGAGGATCAAAAGAAGGGATAAAAAAGATTCCTCTGGCAGTCAAGTTGAGGGCACACTTAGGAATTTTATTTCTGGAGTCTCAGGAAGCTTTTTGGCATAGTTAGGTGTTGCAGATTTTATATCCAGATGCCAGCTCAGTGCATATGGAACATGTCAGGGTTATTTTTTTTTCTTGGTGGAGAGAATGTTTGATCATGCTCACCACCTGGAGTATTAAGTTCTGGAAACTGATCCCAAAGATTCCTCAGGAGCCAGCAGCAGCATCTCATGGATGGAAGACCAGAACTGTGACTGCCCAAGCTTGGAGAATCAGTCCATAGGGGAATGGAGAATGAGCTAGAAGCTTTATATTTTTTGTTTTCCATTTTTTCCCATTGATCTTTGGTTTTATTCAGTTCAGTCACTGTCTTCTTTAAAGCCTGAAGATAATATCTGACTCCTTACTCATTTTTCTACCTGTCATTGAGCTGGCCAGTTACCTTACTGTTCTCTTTGGCCTTCTCTCTGCTGAGGGATTTTTAGCTGTATACTCCAAACAGAAGCTTCCTGGGGCCTCACAGAAGCTGCCTATTACACCCCCCTATTACAGTCTTCTTTCTTTTGACTAGTCAAGGTCCCTGAGAAGTTTTGTAGCTTTAATACATCAGGAGATGCTTGTGCCTGTCTTTTGATCCTTTGTCCTCCACTTTACCCACATATTATGAATCTAAGCAAGGATTTCGTGTTCCTGTGGGGAGGGGAAAAAAAACCAAAAAACAACTTGTCTCTCTGTTCAAAATGGTTTCTCTGTCATTCTTCTTCATATTCTACTGTGAAGAATCCACTGAAAACTGAGTTTTGGATACAAATGCCCTTCATTCCTGCAAATGTGCAAGTATTTTAAACTTGGATGCACATTTCTGTCACCTTCCAACTGTGGAGTGCTTGCAGCAGTAGCCAGACCTCCTCAGAATCATCAGGCACCTCATCCAGCAGCTACAAACAAATGCTGTAATATTTCACACATGGCACAGCTGCCGAGCTGCAGCTCAGCTCCTTAAAAGGCAGACAAAACCCTGGAGGGCCTCTTCATAAAAAGATGGATTAAGAACCTTTTGTTTCTGTTTTGGTCTTTTAAGAGTCAGTACATTGGTTAGCCTTTTTAGGAAGTTTTCCTGGTGGTGGTTAACTGCTGGTGGTGGAGCTCAGGGCTGGAAATGGAGACCCAGTCATCAGAGAGTACATTCAGAATGTTCACATGAGTACCATTCACATCCAAAGGTAGGGTGGTGTTCTCCTCAGATGGTGATGGTCACCATGAGCTTGGATGTTTGTACCACTTTTAGGGATGAATAAGTAGGAGTAGGGTCCAAAATTAAGATGATTTATTTTCACTTTGCTCTTATAGAGCATTTTGTAACCAACTGGAATCACTGCTGCTCCTGGAAGGCTTTTGCAGTGAGCACAAAGAAGTGAAAATTCATCTTGCAGCCTGAACTCATCTCTCTTGGGCTGTTCAGATTTCTGAGGGATTTTTCTGAAGTTGTGGGTTTAAATTATTTCCCTTTCTTAGGTACTGTTCCTCGTTTTTCTCCTCTGCAGTATTTTCATTTAAGAAAATATGTGCTGTTTTCTCTCCCATACTTAACTGTAAAGGAAAATAAACTGACTGTGTGCACTAATGTGTGTAAAATCTGTGCAAACCCCTACCCTCTAAGCACTGGCCATAAGGCAGCTTTCAAAAGGCTTGGATTTTATCCAAGATCCGGCAATAGGAGTGTTTCTAGCCTCCAGTTTTCTCAGATTATTTTCTTTCCTATGTTTGCTAGATTTCATTTTCTTTTTGAGAGAAAAGCAACTGTCCCTCATTATTCACATACATGGAAAGTTGTAGGGGACACTCCTATGTTTAAGTTCATCCTGTATGCTCTGGCTTTTGCCAGCAGTCAGTGATTCCAAGGTTACACAAGTCTAGATGTACCAAGAGATGTATTTTACTTATTGATTTAGCACGTTATATTAGTAGGATGTCATTTGTGGATTTGCCAGTGTGGCATCCACCGTGCCATCTAAATGCAGAAATGAAAATTTGTACCCTAAGCCTCTAATAGGGTTTTCAGACTGGGATTCCAGAATGGGATCCCAGTGCAATACAGGAGAGAGAGGAATCCCACAGCTGGTTTTGAAGTTGCTGAGCATCTCAGGCTCAGTGTAATTTGACCTGGAGCTGACCTTGAATCTTATGGGCTGAAAAGGGAACAGCCATTAAAAAGAAAATATAGGAAAAACAGACTCCTGGGACTTTTTTCCATAAGAAACGGAGCAAAAATTACTTTTCAATCAATCTTTTTTTCTTTATAGCTGCTTAAATGAATGCTCCCTCTTGCTTCAGTTTAAATCAGATGATATGAAATGAAGAAACAGATTACACTGGGCAAGGTCTCTTGATTTTCTGTTTGCATTCTTCGTCTCTGGTTTTAACCCTCACCCTCTTGCCTGCAGAGGGCAGGAGAAAAAAAAATCTGAAAACGTGTACAAATTTTGATTCTAAGTTTAAAGAATGGAATAGCAGGCAACAGACTGCCCAAAAACAAGTCTCCCAGCAGCTGTCTCTCAAGTTCTGATGTTGCACTATAACTCACTGGGCCAGAGGGTAATTGAACTTGCTCTCTGTTTCACCAGGATGCTCTAGGATCTATGAAGGATTTAAGTCCTGGAGAGATTCCAAAGTGGCCTCTTAAAACTGTTTTCTAGTTCATTTTGTGGAGGCAATGCCTTCAAATTCTTTGAATTTGATCCTGCAGGAAACTTGAAGGAGTTAGTAGGAGACTGAAGTTGCTGAAATAGAATAAATGTGACTTGGGTGGGGCTTTTTCCCTTGTGTTATGGAGTTTGTTTGTTTTGTTTTGTTATTTATTTGGGATTTGTGTCTTTTATTTATTGTGGGAAACACAGTCATAAGTGTGAAAAGGGTCCTTTTGAAGCCTGTTTTTCTACTTGGAATTTTACCCAAACTCTGTCCTTTCTTATGAAGAAAGAGGAGGAATATACTGTCACAGTGGAAAGCTGCTTTTCTGTTTCTTTTGTTAAGCATAAGTCTTTTGAGCATTAGAACATAAGTGATAGTAACTGAAGGCCAGGACATGTTTTACATGCAAGTGTAAGTTCAGTCTTTACATGTGAAAAGAACTTTCTGAAGTACCAGAGGTGATGACCTTGCTTAGCCATCTCCAGGGCATAAATTTCTCCTGAGGGGAAGAAATTGAGTTCTGTA